TATTATTATAATTAATATATATTAATATATATATATATATATATTAATATAAAATTACCTTGATTATTTTCAACTAAATTTTAATCATGTTTTTACGTATAACATAAAATGTAAAAAGTGCCTCCTTTTAAAAAAACTAAGTGGGTCGTTTTTATATAGCCACTCTCTAGTTTCTCAAAATGATTTATAATTTTTGATGTACATTATTTCATACAAATGGAGTATTACCGGTTTAAGACCAGAATTTGTTAAATCATAACAGAAAAAAATAATTTAAATGTTATTTAGTTTGTTAAAAAGTATTAAATGTACTACAAAATTACAAGCAATATGTATAATACAGAACCATAAGACACTGTAATATTCATTAACAAACATTTATTGATTCAACGTCTTTTCATTTTTTTCATACAAGAGAATTTTAATTTGTAACAATGACTTTGTTTTATCTTGTTAAAAACTTTACATTATGAATATATGAAACAACGAGTAAATATACATCGTGAGCATGAATCACCTTGACGTACCAACTAAGATCTACGTAATTATTTACATTTAAATATTACATCTTATTTACAAATCGGTAAAATACTGTTTCAATGCAATACGATATTATCTCATTTTCTTTTTATTTCGCACCTAACAAATTGTTGTATAAGGAACAAAAAAAAAAATGCAAGTGGCAATAACAATTAGAAACAAATTTGATTAAATAACAATTACTTAAAAATATATTTGTGCTGCTTTTTAAAAACATGCTCTAAAAATGTCCATTTTAACAAGAAAAAGGATAATAAATAGCTGCTATTTTGTCCTTAAAATAACAACATTTATTAAACTGTACCCAATAATAAGACTTAAATATACTTTTTCCTATTTTTTTCTCTCTTTAAAACCTAATGAATAATAAAACTTAAAGGGAAAAGGAATGTTATATACTCGTGATGAAATAAATTTGGTAACTATCCATCAAAAAATCCAAATGTACGTATTGTCTATTATAATGTGAAAGGAGTAGTTCCAAGACTAACGACTGCTCTTCGCCAGAAAGTAGAGCTCCCGTTTTCACTAAATGAATTAACTAATGAGCTTTTAAAAAATATTGCAATTGAAACTAAAGACTAATATCAGCTACCTCTGGTCAAATCAAGCTCCTTAATCCACCATGTCGATGTTTATTTTGTAGTAAACATATGGATAATATTCTGACTGGCCAAAACCTAATCCAGGAATGTCCACACTCTATAAGAATAATTAATTAATGCCAAATTGCATACATAATTACAATATTAAGTAAATAAAAGTGTATATTATTTTGATAGCTATGTTAAGTGACATTTACATATCTATTAAAAATGTTAAAACCTAGATTTAATTAAGATAAAAAACGATATTGACGTATTATAGGTTGCTTTGAATATTAATTTTTATATTCATCTCAAGCACAGACTGATTCTCTGTTCTTAAAATCAGAAGAGAGAAGTTTCAATTTCATTTTTTTTTTAATATTTCAGTTTTTACAATGTAACGTTATACATTAAAAACCAATAACAAAACTTGAAAGATTGTATATATGTTAAATCCCTTTTCTTTAATTACAGAGAAACAGAAAGCAATAACGAATTTAGTTTTAACCGCTGTGTGATCATAAAAAATTGGCTTCAAAAAAATTAGGCTTGTTTTTTCTAATATTCTATATACTCAATTATTTAATTACCACATCAATTTGTTCAAAATATCCTGCACGTACAATACTTAATAAAAATATAAAATCTTACATCGTGAGCAGATGACGCCTGCAAAGCACTACTATCCAAATGGCCATACAATTGGTTAAGTACTTCGCGTAAACGCTTGCTGCTTTTTTTGTGTGGGTGAAGTAAAATCGCTTGAAAATTGACTGGAAGACCATATCTACAAAAAAACACGTGTATATACAAATTTAAATTTGCTAAAATAGTTTTTACCTTAAAACAGACTCTACAAACACTCGTAAGGCTTTTACGTGAATCCAGGCACAAAAGCATTCGCTAAAATTTACTTTCAGCCACCTCACAAGAGGTCCCTGTAATACAAACGAATTCAATATTAAAAACTACTCAAATGTAAATTTAAATAACTGCAAAAGTTAAGATAATTATAAACAAAACTATTATTAACTTTAGTTTTATTAATTAAAATTGAATGTTAAAAATTGACTTAAACAAGCCACTTACAAACTGTTTTTTCTTGTCTGTAACCAACTTAGTAATTTCATTTTTTCCGGCGGCAAGTTCTTCCTCATTGTACGTAAAGTCCCTCACGATGAACTTTCTTTCACGTGCATGCAATTTAAACTCGTCAACGACTTTCTTGAATAAAGTTACGGAGTAAAGACCGTATTCCCCATCTTGGCAAATCAACTGGCTCGAACGGGGCACCACCATCGGAGTCAATTTTTCGTAACAGTGCTGCCATTCGGCAAACTGTTGCCTAAAAGAAGGAAGTTAAAACTAAAATAAAAAACTTAGCACTTTGACTTACTTAGGCACAATAACTAGCAAAGTAGTTAAATAGTCAGAATCAAGAATGAAGTGCTCCTTCTTCACCAAATCCGCCAGGTTACGAGTCAAAAGACTCCCCCTAAAAGTTAAAAATACATTTCAAATTATACAAAAATGTTATAGATATCAGTTTAATTTTTCCAAATCAATTTGATTACAAATTTTGAAATTGAATAAATCCGACCTGTCGACAAACGCTTACGTTTGTTTCTTCTCCAAGTTCTGCAGATTGCCCTTTAAGTTGTTGTAAGCACTGCTCTTCGTTTTCAGGTCAGCATCAATCTGTCCCACCTGTTTACTTATAATGTCGGCGATGTTACGAAGTGACTGCTTGGTCGGATACTTGGCGATATCCCATTGGAATCGGGTTAAGTAAGTGGCCAAATCGCCTATTGGACAGACAAAAAGGACGAAAGGATTAGTGAACGGCTATTTCGTTAAGGACGATACATGCGAGGCTATACGAAATATTCAAGTTTTACTGTGCAGAGGCGTTGCAATAAATCAAGCATATCGCATGTTACGAAGGTAAGAAAAGCAGAGGTAGGATTGCATACACAGCATTGTTTCTTGTTTGCTATATTAATTACGATTGTGATTCGCGGCAATTACTTTTTTCTTATATACGTCGGTATCAACTTTTGTGCGCAGGCGTTATTGTCACTAGTTGACGTCTTTTAAGCGTGCGCAATAATATCATTACTAAAAATAATACTGAAATCAGTTAACTTGCAAGAATCAACAATTCTGTGCCTGGTAACAACGGATACTGATCAAAATAATAATAAAAGTAATACGTTATACGAAACATTTAAGGTGAAATTAACCTAAAATAATTATTTCGATTTTTATGTTATTAACCGTTGTTTATTTTGAGGGCATTTATATATTTAATAATTTAGAGCAGTACGGTTAATTTCAACTGGAAATGTTCTGGGCGTAAAATTAAACTGAAAAAAAAAAAAAATGAGCACAACAATGTAACGATATCAACAGTTCTTATTATCAGGCATACATCAAATAACGACCAACCACGTTAGGATATCTATATGTATGTAGATGTAATAATAATGATCAGGCAGCAGGCGGTGGCAAGCTGCCGTGCCAAGCTTGTGTCATCGGCCACTGACCTGGCCCCAGGGGGTGGGGAACGTCTGTGGGGGGTCGGTCCGCGACGGCTGCGTCATCAGACTGTTCAACAGTCGCAGTCAATCCGCACGGTGACTGCGGAGGCGTCGCATATTCGTCATAGTCAATCGATGCACTTCCGACCGATTCCCCCTCTACGGTGGCGTGCGAGGCTGTTTCATCCGTGGACCCGCCGCCCTCATCCGGCGGCTCCCCACCTGCCCCAGCACCAAATACTTTCGTCACAAGCGCATACAAACAACAAGCACAAGCCCCGCCCCTCGCAACCACCCCCTCTTCGGGACCGATTTCTCTCCTTTTGACTTTTTACATCCGGTATTTGATTTTACTTTTTGTTTGAGCGCCTACTCTTCATTTCTCACGAAAAAGCCATGTATTTATTCTGGTTGAAAAGTATTTCCAGTATTTTCTATAACCCACGTAATCGCAGTTTTTCATTTATAATAAATTGAAAGGAACGTTAAGCAAAACTAAAGCTGCTTTCAGTTGCGGATTGTCTAATAAACAAATACAAAATGTAGTTACATATGTCTTGCTTTAACAGAAAACTTTATATCCTAATTCTTCATCAAGGCAAACTGTGCATCTTTAATTTTTCATAATCCTAATTAAAGAATGCGGTATCGTCTATCCTCTACTCTATATATGTATAGTAATGAATTCAACTATATTTCAGGCTAATACACTTAGTGCTAAAAACAAAAGAAAACAATAAAATGACACAGTAATGTTAATAAAATTAGTAAATAGGCAATAAAGAGATTAATGCTTCCCGAATGTTGATCGACTTTTGCTGTCACAAATATTCTTTATTTTTGTTTTACTAGTTAATCAATCTTTTCTAATTTTGTTTTAATTTTTTTTACAGTTAAATTGTTTATGAGGCAAACTATTATTATTTAAATTATTTTGTAAACAATATGTAGACGCTCAAACGTATTACTAATTACAATACAGCAATAAAAAAAGGTAATTAACGTACATGTGTGTGTATATGCCAGTTGTGATTTAACAAATTTACGTACAAAATATGACGCTTAATTTAATATTAAGTTATAATTTTTTTAATTTTTATTTATCGGTAATAATAAGTGAAAGTATTTATTGTGACTTAAAGTTATTTAATAGAATGAATTTTATTTTTGAAGCATCGACTGGTGTTATAATATGACAGCTCAACCATCACCCCCTGACCCATATTAGTCGCTTGGCTATATTAGTACGCCTTATGTCATGGTGCTTATAAGTAAAAAAAAGAAAGGATTAAAAAAACATGGAATATTAAAATCACTAAGACCTAATGTGTTAGTTCATAACAGACGAGAGAGGAAACACTAAATATAAAAACATTCCCTCATACAGGTTAAAATGAAAAAGTAAGGAAAACATTTCAAGTAGGAGTAAATATCTAAGTTCGTACGCTGTAGGTAGTTCGAACAAGTCCTCAGACAGATCATGCGGTTACATGACAATAACAATAGTATAATTTTATAAAAAAAATTCACACAATATTAATAAAAATGATTGCATACTGTTATTTGCAGTCAAATTTTCGTGTAGCTTGTCCCGCTGGTCCTCTAATACCTCACCGAGGTATGCGGCCACTTTGCGAGTCACTTGCTCCACAAAAGCATCCAATTTGCCCAAGTCATCAGAAAGTCCCACTAATTGATCTAAAGTACCCACCTTAAAATATACATTTTACACATTAGCCTATGATAAATATAAAACATTCTGAAAATTACTATTATTATGACTTGCTATATTGTATAAATGGTCCAGTACGTATACTAATACACACTAATAAACATTTAATGAGTCGTTAGAAATTGATCGGACTTTATTGCAATATTGAACATGTTTTTCCTATTACCTTTATGAGGTAACGAAATATTTTGGCAACCAAAAGAAAACCATATCTCCAAAAAAACTTTTATTTTTAGGATATTAATCTGCAATTTTTTAATTTATTTCAAATATTCCCTACCAACAGTAAAGCTGTATATGGACCTGGAGTACTACATATCAACAAAAAGTCTTACTATAGATACTAATTTATATGAAAAATAATTAATGATAATTGTATTATTGCTAAATACACCCAGAAAATATGTTTATTACCTTTAAATCAGGAATATGAAACTTGTAATTAACAGAAACTGAGTTCTGTTTGCTAGTCATATTGTTGAGGGTTTCCCATGTTTGTTGACATGTTTTATCCCCTGGTGCAGAGATCAGCCAATACTCGTTGCCACTCATTCTATTTGTTGTGGAAAGGAAACGATTTCTAAAAAGGCAATCAAATTTGAGAATCCAGAATGACATTTTAGATTATTTAAATATTTCATAGAAAACAAATATGCATACCACAGCGATTTTAATTGAAATAACACTCTTATTAACTTAAAAATTATTTGATGTTACAGAAATATGTAGCTTTCTACTTGTTTTCGAAATGTATATTTCGGTTATTTTAATTTTTGATTGAAAAATCAATTAGGTTATAGTGACAAAACAACTAAAAACTATAATATATTTAATTAAACGATGACTTCATATATAATGTAGTCTGAGAATGCAAGAATTAAAGTCAACAACAGAAAAATCAATCGTTAACTTACCCTTAGTTAACCGCACAACAGTTCACTTTTTGTAATTTATGCATAACGATTAATACAAATATCTCTAAATAACCTGTCTACTAACCTGATATACTACTGGGTTATTGAATAGTGCAAATAGATGGAAAAACTAATTTTTAAGGGCTAAACACCCTCCAACACAACCACTCCCCAAAGAACAGATGATCGTTACTTCACGTGATTGGCGTTGCTGCTCTCTTTATTTAAATAGAGAAAAATGCTAAATTGACAGTAAAATCATGTGACAAGACAGTTGTCTGGACAATGTGGTTTGGATAAAATGTTTATCTTACCCTTAAACTTTTTCTAATCATTAACAGATGGCTTTGTAATCTTTGTTTTTACTTTTAAATTTCATTTTATAATTTTCATTTTCTCTAGGTATTAAATTAGTAGTTCTTTATAATTAAGTTTTTTATAATATGACTACAAGATTCATTACAATGCATTACAACATTATTTCTACAATAATTCGATTTGTTCAAGAGTAATAAACCAGTAATAAGAATGAAAGTGACAGTTGATTTTCTTTTCTAAAATTTTATTATCTAAAAATATATGTTCCAATATTGTGTTTTACCATTACTTCTAAATAAAAAAATAAAAATATTTGCGACAAGACGTATTTACGACATGATTATTTATTTACGCAGGGGAAAGTACAGGTAAATAATATTTTTGATGTATCTCACACCTATATAAATTATTGTTGATTTTCTATTTATGTTTCTGTGGCTCTATCGAATTGTATTAGTATCAAAAGATACGAAACTATTCCGAGCATTACCTAAAAAATGATTACATTTTATCATTTTATAAAACACTCATCTAATAAAAAACCTTTCCAAGGAATTTGATATCCAGCGTAAACAATTTACATGGTCGATAAAATATTTTTTCATACCTCAGATGCATCGAAAACCATCTAAGCTACAAAAGAATTCTGTTTTTATTTTTGAAGACGCGTCACACAGAAGAATTTTACAGACAATTGTCAATTTAAATGAAAGTAATTCTTTGAAAATTAATAAAAATTTAGATTTTCGAGAACCTATAGGCATCATGCGTATGATTAAAAGCGAAGTTACGCCACTTTTAAAAAACTTTTTTTAAATTCAAATTCTATACTTGTACATTTCACAATCAAAAATTCAAAAATATTGCGTTGAAAATGTACTTTAATTTAATATCTATTAAAAATTAAACAAATCGATAACAGTGGCAATAAAATATTACTAATTTTAGTTATTAACTGATGCTTAGTCGTTTGAACTTAATAGTTTTTAAAATCTTTAAAAAATATAGAGATTATTGTACGCGTCCGAACTTTTCCATAAGTATGGCTAACATTAAATTATTTACCTGGTCGTTTAAGTTAAAGTTGAATGATTTATTATTAATATCATGGATAAGAGATATTAAAATATCTACCTAAAAAATTGCTCCATTAATATAGACAAGTATATATACAATTTTTGCTTACTTACTTGTTTATAAACCCTGCAGCATGACCAAATTATTAAAACTGTTTTAAAAAAAGCTATAAATGCTAATTGAAGATTCATACTAATTTCCAAAATTACGTTTTCATGGTGGATGTTTAAATTTGTGTAAATCTGATGAAGTTCGTTTATACATGTTATAAAATAGCATCCCATAAGGCAAGTTAGTTGAAAACTATACAATAAATTTACCGTTTCAGAATATTGCAGTATATCTTTATAAATTTCGTGAACTTTTACTATAACTGCTATTGTATTGTCTACAAAAAGACACGTTCTTTTAATATATCTAATAAATACCCAACGAAACATTTTACTATTAGCAACTAAACTGAATTACTGTTTAACCAAAATTAACAAGCACGAACCAAATTAATAAGAGAAATATAAGTTCTTGGTCAGTAATTAATTATGATCGAAACTAGTAGAGCTCTTTCAATTTGGTCGATGATTTGGTGGAAGTGCTTATGGCGTGCCAATGAGATCCAGTCAAGAAGATCGAAATCACAATCTACGTTTGCCGTTTGGTAGTTTCGATTACTGACCAAGAACTTTCACTGTTAGAGTAGTCGATTCGTTTTCATTATTCTAACTTTACTCTAATTAAAAATTCTTTTAATCCTAAAAACCCGCTTATAACTTCAACTGAAACCCTTTTTAATTGTGCATTTTCAACCAATTGCAAATTAAACATTCAATTTTCATTTTACCTGTATTATTCGAACCTTCTCGTTTGTGAATGCGTATCTTCAGTAATAAGTTTTTCAGAATATCATTTGAAGCTTTTAGTAGCTCCTCTGTTAAAATTACAAACGTGATAAACTGTTGGGAAATGGCGTTGGTAAGGATAAAAGGTAAATAATCGGCCAAGGCATAAAGTTTACTTTTTGTACGAAAGCCTATTAAAAAATCTTTTGCGACGACAAACAGGCAATCTATGAAAATTAAAACAGAACTGATAGCAACGAAAACGTATATTCGTCTGAAAGAAATTCCTGGTCCGAACGTTTTAAGCTTTCTATTGATTTCCTCAGTTTTGTTTAGATATAGAGCAAGCTTTTTTGAAAACAAACAGATAATAACTGATCCTGATAATTGAATAAACACGAGCGAATTTACTTCAAACCAATTTGTTGCTTCAAACAGTAAGTTCTTAAATTGTTCTGGTATTTCAGTAGTACTCTGCCAAGCTAGTAAATAGTAAATCAGATATATACAGGACACTCCGATGCATTCCAGGCATCCTTTCTAAAAAATAAATGATTGAATTAATTAAATTAATTGAATGAAACACCCATAAGTTCTTTTAAGTTTTTATTGAAATTTTTCAATTCTAGTTGATTATACCACTTGTCCTGCATACCAATTTAAAATCCTATACACCCCTATACCTCGCCTTATAATTAATAATTGTAGTTAAAATATTTTAAATTTTAGTAATCTATTTTCTAGTTTTTTCGTTTTATTTCTATTAAACACAGTGGCGTAGCTGAACCAAATGATGACATTAAGAAAAGTGCTTATAAATTGAATTCCACAAAACGTTACGATAGGTCTTACGTATATAGGTAGAACTAAACGAGTCTGGGAACCCCATATAGGTTTGGCTGCAGAACCCCGTCAATGTTATTAGTGTTGCCAAATAAGAACACATTTTTGCGAGGACCCCTAAGACACGAGACCGTTGGCGGTCTCCTACGCTTAGCTATATCATAGCTAGTCTT